GACGTTAAATTTCCCAGGAAAACCAGCTGTCCAATAGAGTATTGATGAACGGCCATATCAGCAGTCTCTCGGAGCTGTGAAAATAACCGAGTCGTCTCCTAGTCACCACTGTCGATAGACAAAGGAATATTTAGTAATACTACTAGTACCCATATACCACAGGAACTAGTGTCTTCGAGGTACTTAGGTATACTTTTGTCACCTCCAGATACGTCGCATTTGAAGGACATCAAATATGCCTTTTCCTAAAGAAAAGTAAGTGTGTCTTGTCAGTCCCTAGATGGTGGTGGAAAGCAGACAGATTGGAGTGCAATTCTCGAATATTAGAAAGGTGTAATTACAAAGAGGACGTGCAACCGCTGTGCAAACTTACTTTTCTTAAACAGGCTTTTGATATTTGCAGATTAGTGCGAACAGGATGGAGGATGGTAATTGAACAAAACGGCGTGAATCACAGTTCTTTAGGGTACATGATTTGGAGACCGCGGGAAGACCCAGGATTTTCCGTGGGGTTTCGCTCTTACGCGGCCGTGGAATACTCCTCAACTCGTGGAAAACTAATCGTGCTATACTGTTCATTAATATTAGGTCTTTACATATGAAATTGCCGTTTTGTATGAAATGAGTTGAAATTTTTAAACTTTTTTATTTCTGTTATTCAAAGTAATCACGCATGCAATCAATGCATCTTTGTCAACGCAGCGGTAGTTTATTGATGCCCTTCTTGTAAAAATCAGCAGGACGGAAGGCAACAAACTTTTCAAAGGCATTTTGTACTGCTTCTTGGGAATTGAAACTTTTTTCCCCACTAAAAAGTGGTATTTTGGAAAAGTTATAGTCGGTAGGTGCAAGGTCTGGTGGGTATGGCGGATGAGGGAGAGCTTTCAATCCCAACTCTTGCAGCTCGGAGACTCTGTCGGGCAGTATGGGGTCGTGCGTTGTCGTGAAGGAGCAGCGGGGACGACCGATTGACCAAAGCTGGTTGCCGATGTGTAATTATTGTCTTCGGTTCTTCACACTACACATCTGCAGTAATTTTCATGTCGTTTTGTAAAAAGATGTTATGAATCACACCGACACTAGATCACCAAACAGTGACTAATGTCGTTCTAGAGGTAATTTTTAGTTTCGGCATTGCTTTGGGTTTTTACCCAACTTTCAGAGCACTTTCGAATGTCGAAACGGAATTAATTTTTCGTCGCACGTGCCTGTTGAGCAGCGCGAGGCAGGTCTCAGGTTGCGCCGGCGATCGTTAAGTTCGTGGGGCACCCATCTATTAAGCTTTTTTACCTTGCATTATTTGACATCAAAACATTATTGGTCAATTTGTCGCAAATGAACCAATAATGTTTTGATCCTGACATCATAAGCTGCTGCTAGCTCGGCTGTAGATAGAGTATCATCAGCTTCCGAATTCGCCTTTAATTCATCATTGTTGACCAGTGTACGACCACGAGGTTCATTTTTCAAGTCAAAATTTCCAGAACGCAACAGGGCAAACCAATAACTGGTTGGGCGTTCATTTGTAATGTTCTCTCCGTAAACGTTGTTAAGGTCACGTACCATTTGTGCCGCGTCGGTGCCACGAGTGAACTCAGATTCCATAATTACCGGAATTTTTAAATCATTTGTATCCACTATGACGAAAAATTATCAAATTTAACGAATGCAATTGCTTAATCATTATTCAATTATTTTATTTATTCAGCATTTACCGTTCTTCTTCTAACTGTCACGTGTAATCCGCTAATAACTTGTAAGTATAAATCGTCTTGTTTTAACTCAAAGGTAATATGTTACTTTTGAAAAGCTCACATCACATACATTTAATATGGGTTAGTATGTAGTCAGAAAGAAAATAGTACAGGTTACTTGTTCCATTTTTTTATTGAATTAATCGGAGAAAGTTGCTAATAAAGTATTATTTATCAACAGAAGTTTGCGAAGTCGTGGTCTCCGTATAAATTTGCCGTATTTGAAGGTCAACCCTCGTTTATAACCGTTGACAAGAAATACTTCACGCTGTGCCCTCATTGTTTAAATCAGACGAAGATCCACGCAAATGCAAAAAACATGTTGGCCAATGGCACATGGCCAGGGATTTTTCTAAGGAGGTTTACATTATAACTAAATTTCTATTTGTTTTGGAATAAATTTCGTATTACGATATATTGTGTTTATTTATTTGAACATCGTCGTGGCCTGGTTTAGGAATGTGAATGCGCAATCTAGATTCGCGGTTTTTTATGTAAGTAACGTGTGTCAATGAATTTTTCTTTTTAGGGTTCCGTATATACCTAAATAAGTAAAAAAGAACCCGTATAAGATCACTCTCTTGTCCGTCTATCTGTCCGTGTGTCACCACCGATTTTCTCAGCAATGGGTGGACCTAGCACCTAGTTGGCAAAAAGGCACAAATAAAGGAAAAATTCTGGTACTTCGTTTTCACGAAAATCTAAATTTGCCCATATCAACATCATCATCATTATCGTGTTGATTTAGGACCTTGATTTTTATACACCTAATACGGACTATAGACCCTGTTCCTGAGAAAATCGGTGGTGATTACTTACCTTTTTTATTATGGCGGGATAACGGGTAGGATAGCGGATCTCTTGGCGTACGTGTTGTAGTGTTTGTAACCATTCATTTTTTATTAAAACTTGTAGAAAATTCATTTTTTTAATCCTTTGAGATTCAGCATCAGAATAAAATGTCCACTCAATTATCTGTTTAGGCACAAAATTACCATCTAATTATTTCTATTAAAGGTTGACATATAGTTTGTTTAATCTATGATTGGAGTTGAAGGGTTTACAGAACTGGTGTATATTTTGTAATGTTATGATAAAATGTAACGGTAATATAGAAAAGGAAGTCTTCTCTCTGTTTTTATATATTCACCTTGTTTTCGTAGTCTTATAGTTGGAAACGTATTGTCATAAATTTGTACCACGAATTATTTCAAATCTCTTGATTGTGCCTCTCTTTGATTCAAAATACGTCGTTTTATATATGTTATTATTAAGTCACAGTCTTAAGAAATGCTCCAGATGTTGTGGAAATTGGCAGCACACCAGTCAAAGAGAGAGTAGTGATATTATAATCTTTGGCACGCACTCGCCATTTAAGGAGCGAGAGCGGTGCTCATCAAAAATAAATGACGGGGTCATGAATGTTTAAGATCAATATCTTTTGTGGCTATTGCCTTCAACGAAATTCAGCAATTTTTTAACAATACTTATTTCCTTTCTAGAATCAAGTAATCGTGAAGTCTAGCGAGTTCCTCTTCAATCTGTTAACTTCCAATGTGTTATATAACCCAATGTGTTTTATAATACGCATACGATTTAACCAATGATTGAGTGGTTGTAAATTGAAATGAGTCTCAAGAATGAATCTTTAGAGTGATTGTCAATGTTTGTTTACGATAGTTTACGAGTACGTATAGTTGTACTATACATGTTCTATTTGAGTTAGTCAAAATGAGCCTTGAAGACATTGTTTCATTTTATAAATTAAGTGTAATGCCTGTGCAGCTACTTTGAATAAATATGTTTCCAAGGAAAAAGGAAATAAAAATATTCATTTTTTTCTTCTCAATAATGTTATAAAAAGAAATTATATATTTTCAGTTTTATACAGATGAAGGATTATTGTTACATGTATGGTTATATACCTACTATACAAATAAAATACATATAGATTATAGAATCATATATCTCCGTCCCTAAAATTATATTTTAAATAATACTTAACACTTTATAGGTATAAGAAACTGAAAATAATAACATTGTATTTGTTTATGTTTAATTTATAGCATTAAACTATATAAATATGTATAGGTATCACTTAAACGACATACAAAGTGGCCTTTGAAAAGGCTGTGAAATGCTGCCATGAGGCTACTTTGTTTGCATAAACTGAAAAAAAAATATAATTTCACTTAAGTCATGGGTTTCGGGGCATGTAAACATGTACGGGATCATAAGATATGCAAAGCTTTTTTGTAAAGCAAGTTGTCAAGGTCTCACATACAGAATTAATGGTGTAATGTTTACATGGTTTAAATTCTTTTATAAATATTAAATTTTTATTTATTTTAAAAATATTGACGGAGCGGTCTAGGGACACTGTGGAGATTTTAATCATTCTGTCGGCAGCACACTGAGGTTTACACTTTCATTTGTTATCAACAAATAGTTTTATTTCATTTTAAAAAGACCCGGTGTGCCGGTATTATTTCGTAATGGGCGAGAGGTTGTTTTTTCAAAAAAAAAAAAATATAAAAGATTTCTTAATAGTCATTACCTTACGTAATATCAAATATCAACCCAGACCATTATTCGTTATCATAACAATATAGTGTTTATGAACAAGGTATCTTTTCCTTTTTAAAAATTAGAAAAGACGTGTGACAAATGCTAATATAATTCGTAAGCAGTATACAGTAACACTAAGCAACTAACACTTGGGTTAAAATATGTTACCCTATGGGGTGTTTAAAAATGAGATTTTTTTTTGTTAACGAAAGATATTACACATTTCCTTGCAATTTTGACAATGATCCATATGTCATCGAGTTTCTATAAAATATCGATAATATCTATATCAAAAGAAAACAAGATTGACTAAGCATATAATAATAACCAGTTATTGTTTTATTTTAGTATTAGACGGTATTCAGTTTTAGATAATAATAGAATTGGAGAAAACATGTCTAACATTTCGCAAAAGCTAATCATAATGCATTAGATTGCAATTCACACTTGATAGCCTTCGTTTACATCCGATAAGCGTAACAGAATTCTAACTATCTATTAAGAATAAATATATCAGGTAAAATGTATGTTAAAGGTAGTGTGAAAAAAACAGACCGATTACATTGTTGCGAGAGTTCAATAAACCAGTCTGTTCTGAATCTCTGAGTATCATTGTCCCGTACATTACAGTTCAGAGTTAAGAATAGTAATGCAGTGGTTGTGTTAGAAATATTTTTATTCCGTCTTGCTGTTAAGTCTTTCAATGATATCTATAATTGTTACCGTGCAGCCAGATAGCAGGCTGCCAATTCCGAATAATACTATCAACACGTTCTTCCACAGGATCCATTTATATCTCCCGAGATTCCCCCATCGGAAGACGGTCTCTATAACACCGGGAATAATAAGCCCGAGGATTGCGTAGAAAAATGCGCCGACGATGTTGATGATTTGCTCCAACATCGGTAGCGCGATTCCAATGCCACCTGCCGACGAAACGTGTTTATAGATCAATGAAGGAAAAATTAAATAAACCGAAAGAAAATAAACAACTTCATATAAATTCTTATATGCTAGCCCAGTTTTTTCCTGCATGGTTTTGAAACGACTCTTTAATTTGAAGAAAAAAATTTTTTAATGAAAAAAAATGTAGGATAAAATACGAATTTTGGTTAAATAATGTATATATTTATATATATAGAATCAAGTACAAGTACAACTTTTATCGTTCACGGATCTCGTTTATCTCAGAGACCACGTAAAGCTTTATTAGTCGTATGCCCCCGGAAAACATATCAAATGTGCGGCCACACATATCGACAATACATTTACTATCGGCCGTACTCAGAGACACTAATTTATATGGCATGTAGACTTTTAAGACTGAGCTTGAATAAATTTAATGTTTTAAGCTAGATACAAATTATTTATTTATTTTATATATTTATACTTTATTGTACACCAAAAATAAAAATATATAAAAAACAAATTACAAATGAATATAAAAGGAAGTACAATAGGCGGTCTTATCGCTCAGAAAGCGATTTTTTCCAGACAACCATTGCGAAAAGAATATTTGCTAATGAGACATAAAGAAGAGAACAGAGGGAGGTGTACATGAATCACTTATAAACATCGGATGAAGGCATTTATACATCAATGAGATAGTCAAAGAATTCGGGAAAAATAGGAAAGGAAAAAGGAAAGCATGAGTTCACAGTTCCAAGTAATGAGCTTTTAATTGGTTTTTAAAAGAAAGAAGTGACTTAGCTTGTCGAATGTGAAGGGGCAAAGAATTATATGTGATTTCAGTGGTTCGATGAACCACTAAATCATTCTTAAGACACGTTAAGGAGAGTTATGGAATGGAACCCCATCCATTTGATACCTACACCTCTGTGAAATCCATAAGATATTATACCTGAACAACACACAACCACAATCCGGACGACAACTTGCGTGATAGACCGGTACTTCTCCTTTATATGCGGTTCTGTGTACCTTGTGAATATGTCCAGCACAACATAGAAATGCAATGGGTAAGTGAATAGAATTGACAGCGCTATAAAACTCTTCGCACAAATCGCTGGCCTGAAATTGAATTTATCAAGAAATAAATCGATCACAGGTAATGATAAGTGTTTCAATAATCCCGCGTACCGCTTTCATTTAGAGTTTTTGTCGTCCGTAAAAGTTTAATGAAACACGAAGTTTATGACTTTAGCCCCAATCGGTGAGGCTTTATTCAATTTGAAGTTTGTGAGATCGCATCATGTCAATTTTGCAAAAAGTGAAACATTCAGTTCCCGTGGGAAGCATTCAATTTCACTTTTATATGTAAACTTTGTAATAACTTGAATATACTTTGTTGATAATAAACCGGAAACGCATATACTTTTGCATAAGATTAAGTTTCTCCGGATTCCAAAAGCGATACCTATATGCAGAGCATTCAAACGTGTTTTTACGTTTATCGACGACCGGGGCCAGTTTGATCGCCTCGACCCTTGTCTTGCGAGATATTGCATCTCTTGTCCTGCAAGCGGAGATATTGCACTCTTTTCTGTTATGCGTCAGATGAAGCTTTAATAGTCTCGGGACTGAAAGCAAAAACATCAGTTAATACAAGATCTTTTCTGTTTTTATTAGATATATCAAAGGAACATATCATGCGTGCAGAGACAAATTTCTCTGTTTTTATTAGATATACGAGTATCACGGGGATTGCTCCAAATTTTCGGATTGATTCCTGCAGCCGAATTTCACCATCGTACATTTTGTCAAACCGCCAATTACTATCGTCATCATCTTGATGGTGTTCTTCCAATTTGCGTTTTTTCTGATATTTTCTGGCCCGCACAGCTACTTTCTGGACCCAGTTCTCACCAGCGGTATATCCGGACCGATACTTAGGGACCTTCAACAAGAGAGCCTATACCTTTCTCAAAGGCCGGCAAAGTGTCCCTGGGGTAGGTGATCGCTTACCAGGTGACCCGATTGCTCGATAGTCTACTTTTTTCATTAAAAAAAGACTTTGACTCACCATTCGTCTATTGGGAGGTTTAAAGTTATCGAGCCCCTAAGAGAATCGCCGTATCTGAAGTATCCGAATAAGCCCAGGGTTGTATACAAAAGCATTATCAGCGTCATCGCGATTACCAGGACTCCGCGACAACCGAGGAAGTGTTCCGGTTTCTTCATAGCGTTCTCCACGGGCATCACTACGCCCATGCCCTCCATGGCGAAAATAACTGTCCTTTAAAAAATGAGCCATTACAGAAAAGTGCAAAAGTACAAGTCTAAAATTTGCGAAGTCATATTTTTCGAATATATCAATTTTTGTCGGTAGAGAATCAGGTTTTTTGAGATCTTATTCTAAAGTCTTGTAGAGAGTTTTACTCTGATACTTTAAACCTTCCGTATCAACATCACTATAATTATCGTCGTCAACCACAAGCCTTCCATCCTTCTTCCACAAGATTTCGTCATTTGCATCTTGCATCCATCCGTATAAGTAATTAATACTGAAGTAACGCACATTCAGCAGTTGTAAGTAATATTATTTTAAAATTTATGATATAAGAGTACTAACATAAATATGTTCCGTTTGTTTTGCTGACTTGATTCTCAAATGTCGTCATTGCTGTGTTAAGGCTTACTCTTATTTCACTAAGATATTGCTTATACTACTCAGCGATACTACAAACGTTAATTAGAGATAAAGATTGTTTTATTTAATTTGGTTCCGGAATTTCAAAAACGATTATTTATATATGCCAAGAAACAAATACGTACATACGATAAAATTTTATCACTTTATAATTTTATAGAAAATAAAAGATAGATGACATATGAAACTTACAATATAATAATATATTTATATGTGTATTCAGGTCTATAAAATTTTGTAATTCCCACAAACGCATAATTAAATAAACATTTTGTTTTTAGGTGATTAAAGTCTACTTACGAGAGAAAAACTGGAAACCTACTAGCGTTCCCAATTATTTTCTTATCTGAGAACGTTATTTCATCTTTGAAAATGTAATATAGGCATATAGCAAAAGTGGCGACTAGTAGAATGTTGGCCAACAAAGAGAAAGGGGCAAGCCACTTCAAATATCTGATTTGGCACATAATGCATAGAGGGACGAGCAAGATCAGGCAGTAGTATTCAACGGACAATTCCACAGTTGTGACGTATCGGTCAAATATCTGTAAAATAATAGAAATTTATTGTCAACCGTTTGAAAATCATAGCTGAAATAAAATTATATCATTCGCCTGAAATAAAAAAAAGTCTAAATGAAAATAGACATATTATGGATTCATTCTGTAGTTTTACGAAAGTTTTATTTAGGTACCTATGTTAAGTAGCAGTATCGAATGGCTGTAATGTTAATATTGGGCATTAGACGTTTGGAAAAAAGACAAAAAAATAAATTTTAATGAAAGTCTTAAGAAATGGAGCGAGAGATTCATTTTTTTAAATGCTTTTGTTTTTAAAATTTTTAAACCCTTCCTTTCGTACTACGTACCACAAATTTCCTGCTACAGTTTATTGCATACATTTTATTCACAGGCGCTAGTTTGTTCACCATGAATCGAGTTTCGCAAGAGCATTAGAAAAGACGAATTATTACATTTTGCTTTGAGTCTTATATGTGAGGTAATCATGACCTTGACATTACTTTAATTGGATCAGGAATCCTCTCAAAACAAAAAGATATTTTTCACTTTGTGTATTTGAACATCTTTGTTCAGTTGTGAATAAATAAGAATGTGAATATATAATACAGGTGGTATTAATGGTTGTAGAGGCTCACTACCGAAGATCTAAATACTCTTTTATTATTATTAAAATTTCATTATACCCATCTAATTGATATATCCTAATTTATATTAATAGTTTATATATAATAATGATATTGATTAAATTTTATTGAGATTTGGATTAGATTTACTTTAAACTTAATGATAGGTACATAATATAAGTAACATGGTAAACAATGAACTTAAGTTGTAACAGTCAATGGACTATGGAGGAGAGCAGAACAGCACAAATGCCACTTATAATAAAACTTTCCAATTTTGGGAAAACTTAAAAACTCGTATCGCGAGTTTTTAGTTGTAGTCAACACAAACTTGTTGATGAAAGAGTACCCGTGGTTAAAAATTTACAAAATAACCTCACGTGGACAAGTATAATGCTTAATTTTAAAACATTTATATATTTTGTACAATATTTAAAATTCGGTTGGTATTTGATGTACTTTTATTTAATCAAGAAAGTAAGTAAAGCATGTGAATTGCATAAACATATTGATTCTTTTGGAAAATTAGGGAGCTGGATAATGAATATCCATTTTTTTTAATGAAAACTTGAAATTATGACAGAACAGTGGCTCTTCAATTGTGGAACTCTTTTATGTAATTACAAATATAATACAATACAAACCTGTTTAATCGAATCAGCAATAAGTATTGTGAATATACAACAAACTCCAACATAGGTGAAAAATAATGAGAATTCTGCAAAGACCCTGAAAATAATTTACAAATAAATATCTAAGCAAAGAGATTTAATTGCCATCATTAAAGATAAAACCATATCAGTTTTTTTATGAGAAACGAGCGCCTAATTGACGGCTTACCCATCTGATGGTATGTGGCACGTCATGCAAAAGATGCAGATCATTATAATTAAGTATTTATTAAAATAGCTCAAAGCGATGAAATATAATTAAGAACTTAATAATTGCTGTGGGAAATATTGCATTCGATTGAATAGTAAGCCTGGAATCTTACTACGCAATAATTTTATAAATGGTCATAAAATGTAGGTTGTGAAAACACCTCGACGTGGAGTAAGCTTTACGGCTCCATCGAAACTTCTTTAATACAGAACTTCAAGCGTGTTTTTATAAGTAAGCAATTATAACCCACCATTGATAGTCGCAACACCAGAGAATCCGCAAAATCATTAGAGCAATTTTACGTAAGAATAGTGTAAAATTAATTATAATTCTGGTTCCCTAAACCGTGATAAATTGATAGGGAATTATTGTGTCTTTAGAATGCTTTTCGTTGCATTTACTACGACATAACCTTGTACACAGAATTGAACCAGTTACTAAGTTAAGTGGAAAATTTTGCCGCGAAGCGGGTCGTTAGGCACGCCTTCAAATATATATAAATATATATATAATGCCATAATACCCGGCAAATTTAGCGAATGGTCGTACACCTTTAGGCCCAAATGCAAATGCCACTTGGCACGTTTCCGCATAACCGAGTAACGGCTTTCGAACTAGGCGACAACACCCGTGGGATGTTTGGACCTGGAATGGAAAATAAAAACGAAAACAGTTTTAACAAAAAAAGACACAAGGACGATTACTTAGCACAATTACTATCCTCTGTTAGTATGATTCGATGACTTAGATACATCACCAACTACCAGGACAGTTTTCTTTTTGAAGTTATATTCTTTTGGCGCGTTTGGAACAAATTATGAGAGTAAAGTTTTAAACATGCGCGCGGACACCGATAGCCAAAAAGTAATAAAGCAGACGGTGTTACGAGATCCAATAAAGATGATGAATAAAAGATCCGAGTTCAACAACAGGCAAGCTTATAGTCCTTCCATATGTATAATTATGTGTAATGTAATAATAAATAAATGTATAGTTTGCTACAATTAGCATTCAGTTGTTCAATAACAACTTACTGTTGAAATATCTTAATAATTTATTAATTATTTAGTTTGTATAATGCATAAATGTCACAAAATTAGCTCATTCCAAAATTAAAAAAAGCAGCAACCTGGAGCAAACTAACGATTCTTTACTCTTAGATTTTGTCGATACTCCTAGTACATAACACAAAATAACCTTTGCAATATTCGAATTAACCTCATGTATGAAAAATAATGTAATTATTCGTATTGGACCATTGTAGTGTAGGACGACCTCACACTAGATGGAGTGCCGAATTGTGTCGGTCTGTGGGGGAAGCCTATGTTCAGCAGTGGTCACAAACAGGCTGAAATGATGACGATGATAAAAATACTTACGAATATATAAACGCAATGACAGCATATGAACGCTATTATGATTGTGCTAACAGCACCCAAAGCCCACCCCGAATTGGCAAACGCCAATGGCATGGCAAGGAGACCGGAGCCGAGGGACGCCTTGATTAAATTTGCCAATGATCGCATATCTCTGAAAGAGAACGCGAAACTTCTCGAAAATATTGTTATCAAAGAAGAGAAGGTAGGAAGCGAGAGCTTCTGCTATCTGCTATTGTAAAACGCTCACAGACCACCGTAACACCAAAGACATTGCGTAGTACACTACTGGGCTTTCAAATTAATTGCCTCCAATTATCACATTTTTAAAAGACGTGTACGAACTTAAATTCTTCTACCTCAAGCCAGTTTTTTATCAAGCTTAGGTGTTTCGTCAGTCTTAGTGGCAAGACTATAGTAATAATATTAAAGTGAACTACAGGAAAGGTGTACCATTAAGTAAGGATATCGAACTCTGAAAGCTTAATTGATTTGATTTTTTAAAGTTTTTTATAGTGTTAATCTCTGCACTTAAGATAGACTAGAGCGTCAGGCCGCGAATGCCGAAGACGTGGGTTCGATTCTCACAGCGGCGACAATCTTTTCGTACTTTTTCTACATGTTTTAATTAATTGATTTGAGTTATGACTTTCATAGAAAGTATTTTCTCCCGAGGTCAACGCCTCTCCTCGATAAACTCAAAACGGAAATGGAATTTTCAAGGGGAAGGTTTACGTGTATAATTCATTAAGGTTTTTTAATTTGACTGAAATATGACGATACCCGTATTTTATTAACAAAAACAAAAACTGACTTCAAATACTCACTATAAATTGACTCGCAATAATCGCAATGACTCAAATTGAATACCAATAAAATTAATATTTGACCACACAGGAGCTATAAAGCGAGCGAATCCAATTAAAAACATTTTTTTGGTTCATAAATGACGTAGTTCCGAGGTATGAAACATAAACAAAATGCTTCTTTTGTTTGAAATCGGTTGAAAAGGGGCTGATTTTTTTTTATATTACTTACGAATTCGGCTTTTTCACGTGCCGATGTTCAAAGGGGTTGTATGTCGAATCCTTGTCTTCCTTTGGATCCATCTTTTTTATAATGGTCGTATAATAAGAGAACCAATGCACAGTTTGACAATATTTAGTTATTAAAAGAATATATTTCATAAATATCACATAATTATAAGACTAAGGTCGCCTCCTGTCTCACAACTCATCTGAATATAGAACAATATCTTTATTGTTTTAATCACAGCACTTGAAGGCAAACGAGATAAACGAATCGAGTATTGTTTGGTCACATTAAATGGATTAAAATCAAGTGTTTAGCGTAATTACTGTTTTACGTTCGAGTGGTACCTAAAGTTTAATCCCTGCCACTTTAAAATGCCGAGACTCACGGCCGGTTTCTGGAACACTGATCATCGTAGATGTTAACTAATCAGCTGTCAAATGGTTTTCAAATTTCATTTTAGTTGCCAAAAGGATGGTTAAACTCTTTGGATTGATCGTTCTGATCATTAGAAGATCATTCTGGTCAATTCAGAGAGTTTAACCGTCCTTTTGGCAACTAAAATGAAATTTGAAAATCCATTTGACGGCTGATTAGTTGACATCTACGATGATCAGTGTTTCAGAAACCGGGCTTTAATGTTAACTGTTCCAAAGTCACTCACATGTATGAACCACTTACGTTGTTCTTTGATAAAATGCAAGATGCAAGCATGTAATTATTCTTATGGGCGGATATTCGTTTGTTTTCTCGTCTTTTTGTTTCTTTATATATATATCCGAAACGGCTTGACCGATTTTGATGAAATTTTTTGTGCTTATCCGGTATCTATGAGAATCGGCCAACATCTACTTTCATCCCCCTAAATGTTAGGGGTAGTCCACCCCTAAATTTTTTTTTTATTTTTTAGACAAAATTTTTAATTTCTATTTTTTATGATACAACATACAAAAATACATACAACCCTAAATTTTCACCCCTCTACGCAGACGTAGTCGCGGGCAGCAGCTAGTATATATATATATATATATATATATATATATATATAAATATGACAGTAAATTTTGCCGCAAAAATAAATGTTATAATAGCTCGGTCGGTAATCGGTCGGCCCCAAAACAGACGGCCTCGGTTCGTATCACGATCATTTACACACTTATTTTTTTTTCATTATTTTCTATACCACATCATTTTCTTTATTTTTTTTATTTCCAAAATACAGGATTAACCAAAAAAAACCGAGCAAAGCTCGGTCCTCCAGCTACTAAAAAATAAACAATATGGATATATATTGCATATATAAAATAAATAATATGAATATAAATAAACATATAGATATAAATATTGTATTATTATTATTTTATGAAAAAAGGATGCAGAAGAGCAAGCGGGTCACCTGATGATAAGCGAACACTGCTGGCGACAACTCGTTTCACAAAGTATCTATGCGGGGCAGAAAATTGCGTGAAAAACACACAGTATTAGACCGCCAACCATCAAGCTGGTGGCGATGCTAATTGGCGATTTCATGAGTTGTACGTTGTAGTTATTTCTAATAATTTTGATAGCTTACAACTTTTAACCACCATTCTGTTCTGATATTAGAGAAGTGGGAGGATAAATATTCTTTGGAGATGTGGCGTATGACGTAACTATTTCAGAAGCAAATAAGTTTTTCTAATATAAATAATAAGAAAAATGTTAGCAAAAAACTTGTGTATTTTTACTATGATACGTAAACCTCAATTAGCATATTATTGTACTGTCACAGTCGAATGATTAACGTAATATTACCGATTTCAAACCTTAAAAAAAGTAGATCTTATAGCCAAAGCCCTATTGATTAGTGAACATTGTCTACGATAGTATATCTTGCATACACACAACTTGCATAGACCCGGAAAATTATCTGTAGGCCAATAAAAATACCTAGCATGTTTGAAAATTGATTCACCGATCAGCAGTGGTGGAGTCCTGCAACAAAAGGGCCTCCCTAATTAAATGTGTAAAGAGAGTGAGAGAGAGTGAGAGAGAATGTGGAAAGAAGATGTTAAATATGTAAAAGTGTATAATCTTTAATATTAGTGCGTTTGCAACTATACATTGTTCTGTTCAGGAGCCCGTCTCCAATAAAGTTGTGATATGTTGATAATGTTCATATTGGGTATCATCTTAAAAAAATATTTAAGAGATTTAGAATAAAGAAAGTTATTCATAACCAACTAGGCGTTTATTTATAATAAATTATTTTATTACATACAAATAATACTAAATTTATTTTATTACATACAAATTTTAGGACGACATGTATGATATTTAAATAAACAAAAAATTTTACTACTAACATTAAAATAAGAATGAAACAAGAATAGTGATCACTATAGCATAATGAGATTCTCTCATTTATTTGTGATGACATCTATGTATATATCTATTCAGTTTTACTGTTTAAAATTTCTATTATATCTAATATTGTGACAGTGCAGCCGGATATGAGGCTTCCTAGACCAAATAGAATGATAATTAGATTCTTCCACAGGACCCACTTTAGCCCGCCGAGGTCTTCCCAACGGAAAACAGTCTCCAATGTGGCTGGGATAATTAAACCGAGTATTGAGTAGAAACAGGCGCCGACTATGTTAATAATTTGCTCCAATAATGGCAACGCGATACCAATTCCAACTGTAAATTAAAAATTCTATTTATTATCACTTTTTCCCTTCTCTCTACGAATTATATATTCTTTAGTCTGTTCCTCCCGTTATCCAAGTCGAAATTTTGGATTCGTTTCTGACGGTTATGATCGCAAACTATAACATAAAATTGTCTTTTACGTAGCCTACATATTTTATACTTCCTCTCCTCGTATAACTATTAACATTTCTTTGTTTGAATCTGCCAATCGAGTGTAGAGAGTTCCAGATGTAATGCCAAAGTGTTGGCCCCGGCTACTACACTAGACGATGCGCAGTGGTATACCACTTCCTCTTCACGGCGGTCTTCTGTGAGTTTGTGGTGTTTCTCACGACGAGCCTACTCATTCGTGAAACGGCAAAAGCTGTTGTTTTTTATGTGGAAAGTTGCCAAACAAGCAGATGGTTCACCTGATGTTAAGTGAATACCACCGCCCACGGACATCTGTTACACCCAAGGGTTCCAGATGCGTTGGCAACCTTTTGAAAATTGGGCTCCGGCCACCTCACTCACGAGACGAAACGCGAAAGTAATATACTTCCACTTTACGCCGGTCTTCTGTGAGGTCGCGGTACTTACACGGACGAGCCTACCCATTCGTGCGAGCCTGCCCATACGTGCGTGGCCCTAAGCCAGTAGGCCGAGACTGCTGCGTGGCCCTAGCACCGTGTTTCCACGCCCTACTTTGGATAGTAAAATATTTTATTTTATTTGACTTCTACCTAACTAAATTAATTTATATTAAAATATTCCAGTATAAATTAAAATAAATTTCATCAACTTTACGGCAATATTAATGTGTTTGTGTAAACGCTTTTGAAAACGATTAACCTCCTTACATTTTAGAAACAATTCAGCTGCGATTACTATTAGCAGGCAGTGGAAAGCTAAAAGACCAACTTTTACACTATAATGAGCTCTGTAAAATATCTTAAAAATAGTTAAAACAGTTTCGAGTACTTATCTCTTATCCTTTAAACGAGCAATTCTTGTATATATATATAATCGGAATCTCGGAAACGGCTCCAGGGATTTTCATGAAATTTAGTATGTGCATAGATTCGGGGGCGAAAAATCGATCTAGCTAGGTTTCATTTTTAGAAAATGTCCTTTTATCCCTGTTTTCAGGGAATGAAAAATATAATTCGAATATGACGGTAAATTTCGCCGCAAGAGAAAATGTCAAAATAGCTCGGTCGGTATTCGGGCGGCCCCAAAACAGACGGCCGTGGTTCGCGTCACGATCATTTACACGTTTATTTTTTTACTTTTTTTTCGATTCCAGATCATTGCTTTCTTTATTTTTAATTTTTTGTCGATTTGTTATTTTGTTATTTTTTTCCTTTTTTTTAAAGTTCTTTCTTTTGTGAAAAACATCTGTTCATATTTTCTTATTATTACGTCGGTAAAATCGAAAAATATTATGCATATTTCATTACTTAGTAATTTGTATCTAAATGTAATTTCCAAAATACACGATTTACCAAAAAAAAAACAAACCGAGCAAAGCTCGGTCCTCCGGGTACTATGAATAATAAGCCACGATGAGATGAATGTCTTAACAAACTGTCATTGTACGGTAGACATAATGAATGCAAATCAAGTTATGTCATACATAATTTAGAGATAGATGGTAGTGCTGAATTTCTGATCAGAGGCAACGAGTTTATTATAGTAAATAGGTTATCATAAAAACGGTTTTTTTATGCGAGCCAATGAAGATTTTTCTCAAATCGTATGTTGGTTTGCTTGTAAAGGGCATCTATCTAAGTTTCTGTATACTTCTTTATTGTATCACCTATTTATATAATGTATATTTAGATGGGAAATAAATCATTGATTGGTTGGTTTCACTTGATTTCAAATTTTGATGACTAGATTATGATGATTGTACTTTCAACTGCAATGTGTTGTTATTATACATCTTGATTAACTATAGTCACGTAATTATTTTCCAACTGTTCATGTTTATTACAGTTTGTGTTCAAGTAATCCGTGTTAAGAACCTAATTTATAATTACTCACCAATATTTATTAAACGCTATTACAATACGCTATAACGCTAATAATTATCAACGATTTTTGTTTATTTACTTAAACCTTAACTATAACACCTATTGCACTTAGTTAAGATTTATACACAATTTATGTTTTTAAATATATTTGCGGAGACCTAAAAAACTTAAGGGTTTGTAATTTATTACCTACCTAGAAATCAATGCCTAAAATATTGAGCAAAGTTGTATTTTATTTTATTAATTAGTATTCATGTATAACTTACCGCAGAATGCTACGCCAACAATTCTGGCGACTATTTCCACAGTGTTACGATAGTTGTCTTTTATATATTGATCGGTGTGGTTCTTGAATATGTCAAAAACGACGTAGAATTGAAGCGGGTAAGTGAAGAATATTGACAACGCTATAAAAGCTTTGGCGCAAATTGCCGGCCTACAAATGATAAGTTAAAAGATATTAGATAAGTAAAAAATCTTTATGTTGACATATAACTTATTCAAAATAAATTAATCAAAACAAACATGTGAATCAAGACGTCTAAGCAGTCCTACTCTTTTTGTGACATCAAACTGTGTTCTAATATATGAAACCGTGGTATTGTTCGTTTAAAAAGTCAGTGTTTTTGCTGTTATTTCGAGGCAGATTACACCAGAAAACGTTATAATCACAAGTTTGTAACTTGTGATTATAACGTTTGTTTGTTTCGTGATGTTTTCAATAGCATCTGTTAAGGACTACGAACCAGTCATCCAAAGGAAGATTCAATGTTATTGACCCCCTGAGGACATCGCCGTATCTGAAGTAACCAAACAAGCCAAGTGTGGTATAGAAGAAGACTATGGCTGACATAGCCACTACAAGCACACTGGGGCAGCCGAGGAAATGCTGCGGTTTTTTCATAGCGTTCTCTACGGGCATCACCACTCCAATTCCTTCCATTGCAAATATGACGGTGCTGAAAGTTATGAATTAATTTATAAAACATAACATTCAGAACGCATTTTTAAAAATAAGCCTGTATTCAAATGGTTACTTACGAAACAAAGGCGGGAAATCTTGCAGGATCACCAGCGATTCTCTTATCGGCTAAAGTAATTTCATCCCCAAATATGTAGTAAAGACAAATTATATACGTCAATACAAGGAATATGTTGGCTAAAAAGGAGAAAATTGCTAGCCATTTCAAATATCTCACTTGGCATAATACACAAATTGGTCCTAATATTATCAGGCAGTAATATTCTACAGGTAAAATAACTGATGGGACATATCTGTCTATCAACTGGAATAAAAGATAGTTAAGGTTAATGGATTTTTTGTATCGATATTAAATATATTTATGTTATGGTACTACATACTTACTTGTTTAATTGAATCTGAAATTAGCACGCTGTAAATACAGCAAACACCCACATACGTCGATACTAAAGCAAATTCGCTAAATATTCTGAAACGAGAAAATAATGAGACAGTGTTTTTTATTTTTTAGACAATTGCATTGAATTATCTCAGAGTGAAATACGTATCCTACATGTGCAATAAACGGCCATTTGCTTTTCTATGATAAATTTTTCTTTTTTAGTGCTTTTCAGCCTCTAAACTTAATATGAAACTTAATATGTTACTAGCCAGAACGGAACCCGGAACACAAAGATTTTTCAACAGTTTTTCTTAAAAATTCACAATTCAAGTGTTGTTGCTCCACTAATTTTAATATATCTGAACAAACCCTGCTTATTTTAAATGTTTATATATGTTCCTTTTTATTTAATTGATTATTCAATTACTAACTATTTGAGCGACAATCTCGCCAATCTTTTTTCTTCCATTCTTTCTTTTTTTTGCGGGACTTCGCTGGGACATCGAAGTGGAAATCCCTAGAGGAGGCTTGTGTTCAGCAGTGGACGCCTACAGGCTGAAATGATGATGATGATTTGAGCGACACTTAGAACGCTTCGAATAGGGTCGATGCAAGATTTGAAATGAATTTCTATGGCAAAACATGCAATCAAGTGAGCGTATCATCCGGCCGTAAATGATTACCGCCGCCGATAGACACTTGCAACATCGAAGGAGACAAACACAACTAACATGATTTGGACTAATACCTAACTAGTAGTAGTGTAAAGGACGTATAAACAATACAAACTGGTTGCAACTCCGGAGCATATGCCGTTAATGCAATCAGAATTGGATCTCAAAGGAATAAAGTACATTACGCTCTGTACTATGTTTAAAACCTTTACTCACACAGTGGAGTTTTTGGCGGTGAAGTTATCGTTCAGTAACGAGTTAGATGCGAAAAGAGTTAGTTCGGGTTTCCTCTTAGGGATCCGACGAGCGACCAACGAGTCATTTCCTGTGTTTAGATAGAAAAGTTCAATTATTCCCTTGAACAGACCTGAATGCACAAATTCTCGGAAGAAAGTGAATTAATCTATTGCCAAATCTGTCAATGTGCCTCTAACTTTGCTAATGGGATGGCTGTTTTTAAGGATTTAGAAGCAAAATTTTACTCTCTTTAACGTAACTGATGTGTACCTCTCTATACGAAACCTCAACCTCCAGCACCGCTTTTGCAAGTGCGATCGAATCAAGCCTCAAGATCAAGATAAAAAGCGCCGTGTCTCGAAGTACCAAATCCGACAGTGTATAAAGATGAGTGATTTAAAACATCATTTAACGCATTGTGCCTCCTCTGGTATTGTTGTTACTGTCCATGGGCCAAGCGGCTCGCCTCTATTTGTTTGCATCCTTTCCCATAAAAGAAAAAAAAAGAAAACGCGTAGGTGAAGTGGTGAACGTGATCAATCAGATGGTCTATCTCGACATTACCCCTATGCGGTATATATAGAGGATGGTCATAGTGATATACCGATTACTTTTAAGGCTGCTGAGACGACGGCAACAGATATCCTCTCTCTAACAAATACCCAAATTGTGCAACCGGCACAGAGGAGTTTTCCCATCTGTACCCTCGGCTGTATGTAGAATACGCCTGTTAGCTTGGTCACCAGAGCTCAGAAGGCGAAGGGTCTGTACAGACACCAAGTGATTGAGTCTCGAAAGCCAATTGTGCAGATTTTTCCTGAGGTAGGTTCATTTTAAACATCGCAATCGCTGGACAAAAGACAAAAGTACTTCACTTTTCACTTTCCCCTACACTTCTGTGAGGCCGTGGTACTTCAAAAGCCGATGGGTAATTTTACCACAGAACGTACTTTTTCTGAATAGCCTGTTATTCTACCGTACTTATTTTTATGATAAACAGATAGAATGCATTTCTACTACCTGGCTACATTAGCATAAGGTCTTAGTGCCTTTGGTCCATGCGTAAACGCAGATTTTGCTGTATCAGCGTATCCGAGTAAAGGTTTTCTTTCCAATTTGCAGCATCCTCGTGATGTTTTCACCTATATATCAACAAATATATCAAGGTTATCAAATACATGTACGAGCGGTTTATTATTAAAACAGGAAAAAAATATAGAAAGGTTTCACGGGCTTCGAAATATAACTCGTACAGGTAAAGATGTCTGGATGAACTAAATGTCAAACAAATTACTTCAATTGTATCTGTTTGACACTATGAAGACATAAGCATACATTAGGTGTGCAGGTGTTTCCATGTGTATCTTTGTGATTATAAGCCATTTCTGAGTTATATTTTTAGAACATTAAGTAACACACAAATGTCAGATTTTGGGCTTATGTTTGAACAACGGCTTTATGCTAATATTTTCCATGTAATCGGCATTATATTACGTGATTTTTGGTATAAGTACTCATATTATTTTATACAGCGTGTCTTTACTACCGCGACAATAAATGACCACACATATAGAGGATAACTTTTTAAAATTGTATTAAGCATTTATGTTAACTGATTTTATCATAGCCATGTTTAGTAAAATCAAAGTGAATGGATGACTGAATTATTTATTATTACATGATGATGTCTTTAAATAAGCCCTCATCTGTTTGAGAAATTGAAGGCGTAAGACCGATTTTATCGGCTTTCAAACGTTATTACTATGTAACGTAATGTAATTAGTTTTTTACGTGTAGCGTCATTCTTATTACAAAAATAAAAACAGATAATTTTATCACGTTGTAAAAGTTGCAGTTTTAACGTGTATTTTTCAACGTTAGCTCGTATTATTGTATACTTTAGTTTAAATATTCAAGTATATTTAAACATGTAATTTTTTACTATATAAATCGAGTATTTTTACTCTTCATAACGTTGTATTTGAATACTTACCAATATATGTACACAGTGTCCGCAAATGATCCCAATGATGATTGTACCTACTATACCCACACCCCATCCCGCATTCGCGAAAGCCAGAGGTCCCGCCAAAAGACCTGATCCTAATGATGCCTTTATAAGATTTGCTGTCGACCTTACGTCTCTGAAATAAATAAAATATTTCTAGAAATAGTGTCTATTCTAAATTCAAACGACCTCGATGTAATGACCACTAAATGTTTCTTGAGACGTTTTGTTCTCCCAAACAATAGGTCTACATTTTGGAAAGATGTCTAATGATGGATCATTAGGTTTTGTCTTTTTATCCAAATTTTAATGTGACTGGCAAATATTATGTTCATTATAAATTGCTAACTTTTATATTTTTCTGCTAGTTTCTTTGATCTTCATTAAATAAATGGACGAAATAAAAATATTAATTAGTCTTAAAAATAACCAATCAAAAATAATAATCAAGTAATAATTAAATAATTATATAAAAATGAAGTGAATGCTTAATTTTAAGAGATTTTATTTAATGTGGCCAACAATACTAATAGCTATTATTATTTTATGTTTTTTGGATGTTTTTTGGAACTCGTTTAAAAATGCGTTTTATTAAGTAAATTTAAGATTTTTTTACTTAAAAAGTTAAGATATGTATAAAGAATAAGAGGGTGGGAGACTTATTATATATTTAGCTTCATTTTATATGCAGCCATAAATATGAATAATCAAAATATATTCATAAGATATGAAAATTTTGAAACTGTCCGATATTTAAATAAGTTTAATAGATTTCTTTAATGGCTCTGATGTTGGTTATCATTATATAAATAACAAATACATGGTATCGATAAAAGAACACTCACGAACTTGGCTTATCCACCTTCCGATTTTCGAATGGATCATAATCATCTCTCTTCTCCGTGTCCATTTTAGAATCGTTCGTCATCTTTTATAAATATTGTACAACGATAGAATTTCGCACAAACACTTGTAGTCACATTTACATACAATTTGCCGGCCACGTGTAAACGGCACGACAATTCACAACAAAATACTTATTTCACGTCAAAGCCGGCTTCCCTGTGTTAAACAGACATGGATAAGAGACTTGTTCAAAATTCCGTCGGTCACAGAGATATAAATGCGGCATTCGGCTGAAAGACGCATTACTCTTCTCGGCTACAAAACTATGAAGCCGTTTACCCTTCTTAATTCCAATGTAAACGTTATCAGATAATGTTGATAAGTAAATCACGCCCGAAGAATCGTTCTACGCAATGTAAGGTTTCTGTTTAGACAAACAAAGCTCAAGGCGCGGGTATTAAATAAAAAGTGTAACGTTTAATTGACATTCTGTTCGATTGATATATCTTTAAAACTGGAATTTTCGTTTAATTAGGTCCCACTCAGATAATTTATGTATGTTTAATATTGAATACTTTGATAATTTGACAACAATAAACTGCAGCTCTTTAACAAATAAAATTTTCTGCTGTATTCGTTTACGACCTTACATTAGACAAAGTAAATGCAGTAAAGGACACAGTGTGTTGTTTTATTATCAATAATACATCGATACAGTTGACACTATTTTGTCGCACTCAATTTCAGTCAAATAAATTTGAATGTCAGCTGAATGCAATGAATTTAAAACAGTGTAATTGGATGGGTCCGTGCTTGATAAGCCGGTAGTTGTTGTGTGGATATTAAGATTATTAGTTTGAACGCTTCATGAATTAATAGACACATATTGTAAAAAAATGTTAGTTTAATATTCTATAAGACATTAGCCATTCCTCTTCCTAACTTTAGTCGCAGTGGGGATCGGTCGTTGTTATTTGCGTTACCATATTTTGTTTCTTGCAATAGGTAGGATAAAGTGCTCTCTAGATAAACCTTCACTTTACTTTGTAAAGTATCAAAGTTACCGTAAACGAAGTGATAACATACATTTTATCTTGCATATGTGTTATGTTTGGCCATTTTGTTATATGTCTATTATATGTCATCGGCGATGGAGTATTAATGATGGATGAATTATTTATGGTAAAACTGCTCGTGTCTCGTCTTGTAATATTGCTTACGTAATTTACGTATACAGGCAGTGTAATAGTAGGCATACGTGTTCACCTTTTCTATTTTTTAAAGGTTTTACAAATGTGATGTGTATACTAGTTATTAGGTTGAGTTCATTCTAAGTATTATTACTTATTATTTACTTTAGAATTAATATTATTACTTACTATAGTCTTATAATGTTATATTATTATTTTTAGGGTTCCGTACCCTAAAAGGTAAAAAAGGGACCCTTATAAGATCACTCTCTTGTTTGTCTGTCTAGCCGTGGGCACCACCGATTTTCTCAGGAACGGGTGGACATCGTAATTTGAAATTTATACCAAATACTGTGGCCTATAGTCCCTATTAGGTGTATAAAAATCAAGGGCCCGAGTCAAAACGATCATAAGATATGGGCAAATTTATATTTTCTCGAAAACTTGTAAGTACCAAAACTTACCTTAATTTTCATTTTTTTTTATTTCTCGAAATTTTGCCTTTATTTCTGTATTTGTTCTAAGCCCACCGGTTGTACACAATAGGTTTTTGTTCGAAAACCTACACGTTAGTTCGCGTTAACCTAGAATCACGAAATTTTGCAAAAAGCAATACCCTACAGCACAAATCAAAATTCGAAAACTAAAAATAGTAAATTTTAAATTTTGTAAATTTTCATTTATAAATTATCGCGAAAATGTAAATTTGCTTATATCTTTGTATCGTTTAGGGTCAGGCCCTAGATTTTGTACACCTAATAGGAACTATAGTATGTGGTATAAATTTCAAACTACTAGGTCCCCGTCCCTGAGAAAATCGTTGGTGATTATTTACCCTTTTTTATAAAGGCTGGCAGTATAACGTTAAGGTTAGGTACGGAACCCTCAACGTACGAGTTCGACTCGTGCTTGACCGGTTTTTTTGTACTATAATGTTACTAATGTAAATGTTAATATTATATTTCATGTAGTAAAAGTCAGAATTACCGCTGAATACTGTAAATCGTAGATTTTTCTTCTGTTTGAAGATGTTTGGGGGCTTGAGAGAACGAAATTGTTTAAGGATCATGCAGAATGAACTTATTATTATTTTTATTATCATATCAGCTGATGCTACATTAGTTCAACCTATGGGATTTATATTACATACTCTCTTTTTCTTTTTCAAAAGGCGATAAGGGTTGAAGCTACGCAGCTTTTCTAAAATAACGTTTGAAAGCATTTTATACGCCTATTAGGGAGATGCTAAGTCGCCCATTAAGAATTATTCCAAGCGCCAACGGTTATTTCAAAATTGTTCTTGTTTTTTTTTTAATTCAAAACTGGCCAGCATTTGACTGCCATCCCACCTGATGGTAAGTGGTGATGCAGCCGTTGAAGGTAAGCGCGCTAGCTCATTAAGAACCTATTCACTCTTGACTCGAAGAAAAAAAATATTCTAAACAAATTAAGAAAGTAATTATATGACTGTAGTAGGCTCACGCAACAGTATTCGTTGGTGCACGAAAAGCCAGGTCCGTCCGGGGAAGTACCAAAACCTAACAGTAGATCGGGTATTGCAAATGTATGCCAACGTAAAATAAAAATTTAAACTTTATATACAGTTTGCCGGCAGTTAACTTTCATAATTAGTATCATTTCAGCTCCGCTGAATGTAGGCTTCCCCCACTATAGTAGACTTCAAATTGTAATAACTCGGTCACTTGTAATTTTTATTATAATTTTTTTAGGAAGAAGTGTGAAATTTATATTTTTGGATATTAATACCTTCAGTAAAAATAGGAGAAGTACGTAATATACCATATTTTAAAAGGATAAATAAAATTATTCTGCAGTGACTGTACATAATTAGGATGATGCCTATAATGACGGTTAATATTTGCTGATAACTGTGGTGGAAAAAATAAAAGAATTTATTTATATTAAAAATTTCTGTTATAATAAAAGTATTAAAAAAATCTTGTACAGAAACATTACATGTCAAACAGAATTATTATGAATATCATTTTCTATTATTTTAATATTAGAAGATTCGTTCATTCGTTTTTTAATTCCAAATAATTTTACATACTTCTTATTACGTTTTCGCATTCGTGTTTATTAAGGAAACGTCCACATTTTTACACACAAACTCAATATTTTTTTTAAGAAATGTGCACGAATGTACACGAAAGTGCATGAAAAACATGGATACATATATACACACAAACACGCACAGACCTACTAACATAAAAACAACACAGATTATATTCGCATGCACGCATTCAAACTGACACACCCAAACTCATGTACTATCATCGGATACAAAAAATATTCTTATTGCAAAAAAATGTTTTGACAATAGATAACACATTGTAGTATAAAAATATATAACATAGTAAGTACATTTACACTATCTGTGTTCATAGCGTGTGTACTAACATTTACAAAGAAATGTACTAGGGTTAGTTTGAAAGTATATTTTATAATACACAACTAAAGACCTATGGTAAGTAGCTTCTAATATTGGCCGCGTTCACGGACCTCGTATTTGCCCCTCTGCCACCAAGGCTTATTAAAACCGTTCAAATTGGCTTTTCTAGACATTGAATATGAGGTTTGTCTAGGAACATCGAGGAAACTTGCCATCGAAGAAGCACTCAAAGGCGCCTGGTTGTACGATCTTAACCGTTGACCGTTCAAGGAGACCGATGTATAATATGAAGGCTGTACAGGAATCGGGGGCAGATTCAGGGAGAGTCCATATAGAGGAGTTTGCTCGATTATTTTTGTGTTCATGAGTGGCATTGGACCAACAGTGGGCATAATCGTTGAGGGTGGTTCGCACACTGTCCCTTGAATGAGGTTGTAGAGAGGGGCGGTGTAAATTCGGAAATTGATATCACTGTAATCCAATTCCGATTCCAAAAACACAGGCATACGGTCGGAAATCACCCAAACGTTTTTCTCATCGTCTATCTTTACGTCACAGGGGAAGACTAGACCCACGTCGTCCTTGTCCACTACGGCAGTATTTTGAGGCTTGAGCGGTAGGTGCGAGCTCCAACAGCCGATGCTGTTTTGATCAATCAGATTATAGAGTTGAACTCCAGAGTCGTCCATAACCTTCGACGTGGTATGCCCATTGGACCCTCGTACTCCAACGACTTTGAAGTCGTTAAAGGAGCCACCTTTCACCTTTGTTTCATCTCTTAAAATCCTTGTGGAAACAGCGAACTCAGTGTGACTTGACAGAGGGCTGAAATAGAGTGTTCTGAATCCGTCTGCTCTAACAGGTGACGCTGTTATACCGAAGATACCTTCTGCTCCCCATTGGAAATTAAGACCTGCAATGTTAAAGTCACCAACCAGGGGATCGGGCATAAAGTAGCTGTGGCTGAATCTCCATGATCTGTTCTCTTGCCAGGAATAAGCGATGAGGCCATATCCCAATTCGTCGGAGAAGTAAGCAAAGGTGTCTTCACAAGTTGCACCCTCGTCAAGAGCAATGTTCGCAATGAACGTTGATGGTACGATATCTTCGGGTCGGAAAACGTACTGCCGTATGCGAGTATCAGTGTTTAGATCGTAAACGTTCAATGAATATGGACAAAGGTTGGTAACATTGGGATCTGAAAAAAAAAAAGCAATGTTAGTATATATTAACCATGAACCATTACCAATAAGTAGATATTAAAATAATATCAGCATCGCAACTGTAAATGACTCACCATATCCATAGGTTCCTACATCTAAAACCCAAAGACGATCGCATTTATCTGCCTTGATCCTGTATACAGTATTCAGTCCAGTGTCGCAGTTGCCCAATTCATTACCTTTGTAACTAGGGTAGGGATTCAGTTTCGGTGATTGTTCATGAGGAGCGTCCAGAGGGATATAGTTCAAAGTTGCAGGGATACCTGAGGGAACAGAAAATTTTAATTAGTTAAGAAGAAATATTGAATATTGAATCTACAATTTTAGGTTTCTCTGATGTTAACGTTAAGTAAAATACGATACAGTAAGAACAGTGTTACATGAGTAAAACCTATTATGTCACTAGCATCACACGAACCTGTCGTGCAGCGGATTGTGTATAAACAAGTCTTCAATAATTTCTTATTAGTAACTGTAAATCTGTTCTATCAATCACGACATAAAATTTATAAATAATACGACGTCACGTCGAATCCAAAAGTACGGCATCTAATCGTTTATTGCGTATTTTTCCTTATAATAAGATAACGTTTTTTATAAAAGTAAAAATCCAGTGCGCTGGAAATATCGAACTGTAAAATGTTTTTGAATTTAGCAGACTGCTTATTTCAAGTTTTTATTTTATTTAAAAAGTGATAATCGCCGCCCAACAACAGTTGAAATACCCGTAGGGTTACAAATGCGTTGCCACCTTTTAATAAAGTGTGCCCCGGCTACCTCCTAAGCACACGAAACGCAGAAGTGTAACACTTCTACTTTACGCCGGTCTTCTGTGCGGTCGTGGTACTTACCCGGACGGAACTGCCCATTCGTGCAACAGTGAACATTGTTTCATGGCCCTACCACAGTTATATTCGTCTGTGATATTTCAGTTTTAGCTTTATCTGAATCTTAATTTTAATTACTTAATAACATTTAGTAAACAATCTCAATGCCGACTGAAAGGGATAAAGAATCGTAAAGCAACGCAAAACAAGTTTGTCATCTTGTGCTAATCTGGCATATAAGTTATATCTATATCTCGGAATCCGTTCAGCTATTACTAAGTCACAGTTCAGCTATTAATCAGTTCACAGACCTATTCTCTCAGCGGTATCCGAAGTTCTATTGGAATTTTGTGAAGAATCTTTTGGATTGCGTATTTAAACAGGTGATTAACCTGATGTTGTGACGGCAGTAAAAACAAAACGTAACGTATATGAACGCTGAAAATAACTAACAAGTCTCAAATTTGAAGCCGAATCCGGTTTAAAGGCCACGCGGCTACAATTTTGTTAATTATTTAAATTTTGTACGCGACACATGTGAAGAGAAACATCGTGAGGTAGGTTTTGCATACTCGCGAGAGTAGTCCGGTGGACATAAATTGGTTTTTCTTATTTTTGGTTAATATGGGATTCAGATAGGCTTCAGATAGGCTTCGGTATATGGTAAGTAAGCTGGTGGTTCACCTAATTTTAAGCGATAAGCGCTACGAATGGACACTTGCGGCGGACGTGGGGTTGAAACTGCGTCACCACAACAAAGTGGGCCACAGGTAACTCACTTAACAGGCCAATCGCAGAAGTATAGCACTTCCATTTAATGCTCCACCTCTGTTCGATCGTGGTACTTCCTGTCTGGTGAGTGGGGTTGCCGAGTCCAACTTTACTAAAAGGTGGCAACGCATCTGCAACCCTACAGGCCTTGCAAATGTCAATGGTCGGTGGGTATCACTTAACATCAGGTGAACCGCCAGCTCGTTTGCCACCTTCTTACAATAAAAAAAACATCCTTACAAGGTGCATTACAGTTGACGGCCAGGGTGCTTTCAATACCCAGCATCCGATTAAGCGACTATCACAACAGGTATACCTTATATCTTAGGTTACGTAACTAAATAAAATGTCCCCAAACTATACACAAGCAACTAGTGTATAAAAAGAAATCGATATCTCCGAGAAATATTTATTATTTTGATCTACGAAATCTATGGTGACACTGGAAACCGTGACAAGAAAATCTTCTAGACTAATAAAAAGTTCTGTTTACGATAAAGAAGAATCATTGAATTGTGCGCATTACGTTATAACATTTCAGGCGAGACTAGGGCGCAGCAGAGGGATAGTGTGGATATAGGAATAATATATGATGGGCATAGGAAGATTAATGAGAGTTTTAAAACACAAACGAGCCGATGCCGGGAAGTAATATTCATTATGCAAGTGTTTCGCGGCGTGTATGCCATCATCGCTGTTACGTTTAACAACGTTTGCGCAACCGATCGGCGGCTGATACAACGGAGGGCGTCGGCTATTTAGTTTTTCTTTGGCGTGATGATTACTGAAACATCATACGCCATTATTTCAACATTTGTTTGAAGGTGCGATGCGCCAATTGCGTGCGCTTGGAAAAAACCGACGCGTTCTAACGTTTCACGGAAACAAGGCGTGGCGGTATTATATTTGCCGATCATTAGCAAAGTAATAATAGCGGCCGGTGTCGATTTGCACCTAGAAAATGGAGCGTCGAAAATAATAAAATATCCTTAGGAAGTTCTTCGCTGGTTTGCAACTTTCATAGTCCCGGGAAGAACTGAGAGCTGCTTATTGATTTTGGTTCCAGGTAGATCAGACAACAATTAATAATCATAAAATTCAATTTAGCATTAAACAGTATATCGCGTCGCAATGTCAATTCAATAATTTAATTGATAAAATAAGATAATGTGGTTTTAACAAAGGTTCCACTAATCATATATTTTTTAATTGTCCAAAGCTTCGAAATTCCCTTAATGATTATATTCCTTATAACATTCCTCGTCCTGTGAATGTTCCTTATTTGTTAACCTTGGTATTCACTCCCTTTATAAATATTTTGTGCAACTTAATAAGTATTAATAATCTAAGATTGTAAACTAACTTTGGTAATGGGATATAAATGTCTTTTTTGTTCTTGTTGTAGATTCGGAAGTATGACACAAACCGGTTTTTTTTGTAATTCATTAATAAATGTAGATTGACAAGACATTGGCAGAATTCTTTTAAGAGAGGCCATTAATCAAAGAAGAATAAGAAGATAAAATAAGATGTTATGGCAATGTTTACGTAATAATCTCTTACAACATGCTCATATATATATATATATATATATAGTACCTGGAGGACCGAGCTTTGCTCGGTTTGTTTATTTTTTTTGTAAATCGTGTATTTTGGAAATTACATTTAGATACAAATTACTGAGTAATGAAATATACATAATATTTTTGATCTTACCGACCTAATGATAAGAAAAAATGAAGTGGTGCTTTTCACAAAAGAAACAACTTTAAAAAAAGGGTAAAAAATAACAAAATCATCTGGATCAACGAAAAATAAAAAATAAAGAAAGCAATGATCTGGAATCGAGAAAAAAAGTAAAAAAAAGAGTGTGTGTGTGTGCATAAAAAAATGATTGTGACACGAACCACGGCCATCTGAAATTTAGTATGTGCGTAGATTCGGGGGCGAAAAATCGATCGAGCTAGCTTTCATTTTTCGAAAAAGTCTTTTTATCCCTGTTTTCAGGGAATTAAAAATATCATTCGAATATGACGGTAAATTTCGCCACAAAAAATTTGTTATAATAGCTCGATCGGAAATCGGGTGCCCCAAAACAGACGGCCGCGGTTCGTATCACAATCATTTACACACTTATTTTTATTACTTTTTTTTCTATACAAGATCATTTTCTTATTTTTAGTTTTTTTATTTCCAAAATACATGCTTTACCAAAAAAAAAACCGAGTATAGCTCGGTCCTCCAGGTACTATACTTATGATGATTTAAAATGTCATTTTCATTATAGCTCTGTGTCAAAAAATATTCCGTTATACCAGCAATAGATACATTATTTAAACCATATTCATTTTCATATAAAAAATGACAGGCAATATCTTTTTAAAACACAAAATTGTAATTATTGAGTCTGACGTAAAGCGTCAATTTCTCATTAAAACATGTTTATTGTTTAAACAAAAACTCTGAAAAAGTCAACTTACTGACGAGAAATCAACTTGAATGCTATGTAGCAAAAAAAACGCAACTTATAAACGAACGTAATGTAAATAACTTATGATTTCCTGGGAAAAAACCCACAATTTCGCTCACATTCCAAAACAGAACTTTTAATAGGCTAATAATGTACTTACTGGTTCACGGAGTTGTCGCTGAACCATTAAGCTATCGATTGAATGGCACGGGCCATACGATAACTTGTTTTTACTTCGCGCCAAAACCACTTCTGCTTACAAATATCGTAAAACTCAGTTCAGTAACCTTCAATGCGAATAATGAAAGAAAAAAAGAGGCTTATGTAATAAATACTTAAGTAATTAATTAACATCATATTTCGTATATATACCAACAAAAAAAATTTTGACATCGTTAAACAAAATTAGATAACTTTAATGTTCAAGAATTTTTAACAAGGTGAAAATATTATTTTCCTAGTATAAATTAGCCTATCGCTTTAGATAAATAAAATAAATCATCAGGCTCTAAATATTAATGATCGGGCTCTAAATATTAATCATAACAGTTGCGTGTTGTGTTACGGACAATTGCTAAAGTAAGATAAAAGCATACTAATTGCTATCCAACGCCGGCGTTTAGGGACAACACTATGTTAATCTAAGTTTAATCGTGTAGGAATAGACAGTGTTTGTCAATTCATATATTTATAGTTGATATTTCAGTGCTTATTTACGCTTTAGTAAACAGAAAAGAGGGAGACCCCAAAAAAGGTGGGATGACGACATAAGACAAGTGGCAGGCATAACATGGACTAGGGTGGCTCAAGAAAGATATGAGTGGAAAAGATTGGAGGAGGCCTTTGCCGACTATCAAACAGATCTACAAAAATAAGCAAATTTCAAATAAAAGACTAACTAGATTAAGATTTAAATTAAAGTTTTTCATGTTCATATATTTGTAACATTGATCTGAAGAAAAGGCTATTATTATTATTATTTACGCTTTAAGGAAGCTCAAAGGTTTTTAAGTTTTGCCGATAAAATTTAGCTCATTTTCCGGTTTAAACTGCCGACTAGTTTAATCTAATAAAAAAAAAAGATATTTAAAACTTTTACGTGTTTCCAAAGCGTCACGCAACCGGAAACGTCGCATTTACTACCTACTCCATGCATTTAAATTTATCATTTCTCGTTTTTGAAACTTTCTCTTTCTAAACTCTATTAGATTTTTGAAATGGTTTGATCCCATTATGGTTATCTTTTTATCCTATGCTATCCGTCAAGACTAAACGGTATCGTTTCTATGTCACTTTAACTAAGTTGCTGTCAATATGTGAACTCTTAAAATACAAAAAAAAAAAACGATTTTTCGCTTTGTGTTAAGATCCAGTATTTTTTTTTTATGTGAGGAAGTGGCAAACGAGCTGGCGGTTCACTTGATGTTCATCTCTCACCAGACGAAACGTACAAATAACACTTCTACTTTACGCCGGTCTTCTGTGAGGTCGCGGTCCTTACCCGAACGGACCTGCCAATTCGTGCAACAGTGTTGCGTGGTCCTACCACCGTTGAGTATGAAATGTTACGAAGGAAAAAAGTACGCACCGGGCCTCCATCGTGGCACGCTGACGAAGAGCTTGTTCCTCCACCTCTCGATGCCCACTGGGAGAGCGTTCTCCGGGATCAGGGAGCCGGTGACTAAGGCTTCCTGCTTTAAGTACTCGTCCGGATAGTTCCAATCCATGACATTCCACGAAAACACCTCCTGCATCTTCACTGCCGCCGACGCGTACGCCACGAGACCCAATACCAATAGTTTCGCCAGCATATTGCGGAATCTAGCGCAGAAGGGATACAAATATCAGCAATGCGTTCACCATGTGAAAATGTTATTCGTGTGCTGTGATCTCTGTCGTACTTGGTCTGTTATTTTATTTTATTAAGGTACATACCAATTTCCGGTATTTAAGCGTAATGATCCGTAGATACATTTCTTACATCAATTGCAGGTATGTATGTCACATTACTTTACCGATTAATGAACGAAATTCCTTCCCTTCACTATTACTACTACTTTATTGCATAGATGTATAGGTACGACGTTCGTAGTTCGTGGTTTTTGCTGACATGCATAATTACATGATTTATTACATAGACGAATTAACTTTGCATTTCGCGCAAAATGTTGGTTGATTTATGCTATAGTTAAATAATCGACTCTACAAATCAATTATTCACGTAGGAATGAATAATACTTGAAACGAGACATGCTCAAGCCTACTATGTTAACGGCATTCCTTAAAATCTAAACTTGTTGTTATTGAACTCGATACGAGAGAAAGTCAAAAACGTGAACTCAAAATTGTAAGAATTTTTCGGCCATTGTCATTGTGTTAAAACTTTTAACGCGTCGCGTTAAATTGTTGTAGATAGTGAGTCACTGTGTCTATTTAAAGCTAGAAGACAGATAATAAATTTTAATAAAATATATACCTTTCATGTTTTCTTTTATCATCAATGTTTAATAGTTTATTCAAAGATGAAAAAACTTCAATCTTCAAACTTCATTGTTTAAGTATCAAAAATTTGTAAGATTGCTAATTTAATAATAGGGGTACATTAAAAAAAAAGAATGTCAGATAATATATATAACATTGGCATTTTAAAACATTTCTTACTATTCAAATATCACGATCGTATCTTAAGACACCATAATATTTATATACTGACAAATATTTAAAAATCCCCAATATGTTTGAATATATTTAAGGTTAAATTAGAATAAATAAAAAAGGAAAAATTGAAAAAACATGTAACTTACTGTATACAACTGTTTTAGGCATGTTGGATTATTAAACTTATTAAAAAGTTTTATTCGTCAATAAAATCATTTAATATCTAGCTGGATTTATCACTTTATATTGCAAGATATATTTATCGCATATATTATGAGTAATCTCTGCCAACTCTCTGTCGTATTTAAATAGTAGTTGTAATCTCCTTAAAACCAGAATCAGAGTTTAAGAGAGAATTTAAAGTTTAAACACAAACATACATAGGCTATACAAGCCTCAAGTTAAGATGAATTTAAAAGGAGTAACATTTGTAAAGTCGCTTTCAGCATGATTTACGACTTTAAAAGATGCAATATTATATAGTTATAAAGTTAATATTTTGCGTGATGTAAGTTAATAATGACAAGTCGGTAATTTATCAAAGTTATCTCAATGACCGGTCACAATTAATTTGATCCAGAAGTAATCGATACAATGATAGATAACTGTTAACTTTGCAAATAAGTTGACTTACTTACAAAACTTTAATAAGAACATCATACTATACATATATTAATGATGTATATATATATATAAATACATAAATCACATATAGAATAAAGAAATTTGGCCGAAGTCATAGAGTCTAGATTTCGAATCATAACTGTTTTATAACACATCTTAAAAGTATTTTGTAATTGCAACAATCAACTTCTTAGTACATTGTTATAAACATACTTTAGTAGACCTAATATGCTTACGGTCTACAAAAAGTGATTCAGAACAGGCCTTCAGGTCCAATTTCTTCATTGTGCCGATATATTCTTGTAACATAGAATAAAGCCAAAGCCCACTGATGTAACTGCATCTTTTCTAGTGACTTTTGTTTCATAAAATCTAAAAAACATTTCAATATCTTCCAATGATAAATATATAATCAATTAATGATTATTCCTTATATATAATTTTCGTGATCATTATTAAAATAGTGATCTAACTATACCACACCGTATTTACTTTAACTTAACGTGAAATATAAACCGTATGTTTCTACGTACATTGTATGTGCCGCGCCAATGGTCTACCTCGGCAGTTCACTTTTGACTAACTTCCACTGACTTACCCCCAACTATTTAAAACCTTACCTCCATCTCCTCCAATGAATAAGTGGCGAGAAAATGAATGTAGAAGAAATACGAATCGCTCAGACTTGTCGTTTCAAGACGAAGGTTATTAATGAATTAAATTTAAACAAGGAGATTTTAATTTTATTGATTTAGAGGAGTCGGTGTTATTTCAGTTGTATTGTTTCATAATAATATAATGGAAATAGACTGGTTCTGTATAATTAAGTTGTCGAAAATTTAATATGATAAAATAACTTATTTTATCACATTTAATTTATGAAATTTCGAACACTTTTCCATACCACCTCTTTTGAGCAATTAATAACGTGAAATTCATACATATTAACACTGCAAGATGCTGTGTGTTTCATTTTAGATAGATGGGACTAAAACACTAATCCAGGAATTAACGGTAGGCTGGCTACCGTTAGATTTAACCAAATTAATACTACGACATTACGAAGTTAAACAACTAATTCTTTCTAAACCGTAAACTACTTTTATTTCAATATTTAACGTTCCGGGTAATCCTAAAAAATCATCATAATTCTGTTTGTTAAACAAATGAAATAAGTTTCACTTCATTAGTGCCACACAGCGACTTTCGCTGATGCATTATTGTATCAAATTCCAAAGCCTGATTGAAGTGGCACAAGGTGGGGCCACGCAGCAGCCTTGGCAGCTTGTTGCACGAATGGCAGGTCCGTCCGGGGAAAAACTACGACCGCACAGAAGACCGTGAAGGCGTGAAGTGGAAGTATAATACTTTCGCGTGTCGTGTGGTAAGTGATGTGGCCGGAGCCCAATTTTCAAAAGGTTGTCAACGCATCTGGAACCCTTGGGTGTAGCCGAAGTCCATGGGCGGCGGTATTCACTTAAGAACAGGTGAACCGTCTGCTCGCTTGGCAACTTTTCAACAAAAAAAAAATAGTGGAAGTGTTATACTTCTGCGTCTCGTCTGTTGAGTGAGGTTACCGGGGCCCACTTTATTGAAAGGTGGCAACGCATTTGTAACCCTACGGGTGTTGCAAATGTCCATTAGTGTCGGTGTGTGCTTACGCAAAAAAGGTATGTAACCGACCTTCTCTTTTTTCCCCCTTACTTTTATTGGCGGCAGCCCCTTCGAACTTTCGGTTATTTGGATGTGTTGTTGAGGTGAGTCGCTTTTAACTTCTTCATTTGTTTTAAAAAATAATTTGGACTCTTTTTAAGTGTAAGGTCTATACGTTCTTAGATCTACGCTGCGCTATAACCAAACGAGAACGCCGTTAGAACGCTTGAGTTAACTTAAGTTCGGAACGTATACACTCATTCGCTCTATATTAGTTTACTGTATGCACAAGGACTCGGTGTCAATGCGCATTTCCCAATTACACCGTCACATCTTAATATGATCGAATTAGTTTCGATAGAGTGCATATCCAGTTCTCGTGGCGATATTTCAATACTTATGGTCTTAGCTGTATGATTAATTTTTGAATTGTATAATATGTCTATCTATCTACACACATATATTTTTCACTAACTTTAAGGGGATAAAGACATCCAATCAAATCAAAATCAAATCAAATACATTTATTCAAATAGACGCTTGCGCGCTCTTATGAATCGTCAAATTTTACATAAAAAATTATGTATATAGGGCTTGAGTAACGAAATTTAGCAGTTAAACCTTTAACGTATAACATTTGTGTGACAATAGTATAGTGTGTGGGTTCAAAAAAAAAACAAAATTCTACATTTATTTATATAAAAAAAAGTTGTTACTTAAAGTTCATTTGGATGTCTTTATTGGGGATAAGTGATTTATTCTGTGTGTGATTATTAGATTGACAATATCATATAAACAGAGAAATTTTGCATTTTATATTAGTTCACGAATTCTTTAATTGCTAATATCTACACTTAGGAATAGTTTTTGACAATTAATAAAGTTTTGAAGCTCGATAATTTAGAAACATTGTCTGTAATAAATAGCATATTCCAAGATCTTCTTTCGTTTCTAACAAAATAAAAATGGTTGAGGTACTCCTCGAATTCCTAGTCTTATACCTAAGCAAATTTAAATATCTAAAACTGAGACTACTAAGAATGGTTCATGAATGCTATTATTCTAGCGAGAATACAAGGTTATATGGAATGTATATAACAACCTTGTAGGTAATGGATGGAAATTTAACGAAACTTTTCTACTATATTTATGCTAACCTGTAGATAAATTTAAAGGAAGCGGTTAAATTATTACAGGAGAAAGCAAATTCATAGATGTACCTCATCACTGTAACTAAAATCAACATAATACAACAAGTTTTACAAGTTGGTTAAGAAATTCTGTTCAAGTCTTGTACCCTTTCTTTTTGTTTGGAATAAGAACCTGATTTTGCATTTTGTTTACAAGGGCACTGAATTGTATTTTATATCGAAGCCAACTGGTAAAAGTAAGAATTTAATCGATACGTATTGATTACTTATATAACATTAAAACATGGCAGTCCAAATGTTTGCCACAAAATTTCTCAGTCTACTTATTGATAAAAAACTGAATTGGCAAGGACATATCAATGAACTAACGGAGAAAATAAACAGCTTTTTTTGTGTACTACCTAAGTTATTTTCTAGATAAAATGTAAGCTCCTTACTACATATTATGTCATTGTTGATTTGAGTTTGAGACATGGAATAATGTTTTGTGGATATTTCACTTATAAGTAATTTAGCTTTTAATACACACAATAAATGTATCCGGGCTATGCTTAAGTAGAAGAGAAAAGAAAGTTGTAAGCAATATTTCAGACACAATAAAATTTAGAATTTAATGTCTTGTACATATTTGAAATAGCTGTACTTTTATCAGATATTCTTATATCAGAATTTCTATAGGCTATGATTAGAGCCAGGACAGCCCGTATGCGTAATAGTGTCTTCTG